CATGAAATGAAATTAGGAGCATATAGGAAAATTCAGGCCCCAAGGTCACAAGGGTCAAACATCTGCAAAATGCTTGGAATGGAAACAGTTTCTTTGTGACCCCCAAGAGGCATTTATTGTTTTATTAGTTTTGAATTCTTGTCTTTAGATCCAGGACTTTCCCATTTGCAACATGAACATAGTAGTAGTCAGATTATAGTCCAAAAGTACTAAGGTGCTTCTCACTGAGGCATTAACACAATTTCCACCAAAAAAAATAGATCTCCTCATAAAAAATTGGCTTTTGGCTTTGTTGTGTTAAATCAGATATGTGCTTTTATAGTGTAATAACTGTGTGCTGGGTCTAAAAGCCTAGCTGCAGTGGTAGAACATGTAGTTGGCCCTTCTTGTGTTCAATCCGTAGTACCACACTCACACAAAGTTTCTATAACATATTCTTCCTTCCTATAATAGATTCTTCTTTCTACTGGATAAAGCCAGTCACCTAGAAGAAAACAACACTGAAACAGAAAAAACTACATTCAACTTTGAGGGAATAGGTAACATTTTTCCTTTCCAGAGTAAAAGCCAGGATGGTGGCACACACCTGTAAGCTCAGCACCAGGCTGTGGCAGGAGGATCACCAGTTTGAAGTCAGAACATAGCAAGTTCAAAACCAGTCTGTCTCAGAAAACAAGAATTGCACATGAGAAGAAAATAAACAATATTTTAAATATATTTAATTGTTCAATGGAACAGTTTTCTATGTGTCTTAACGTCTACTGGCTTCTTGTTAATCTAGATAAAAGTAGATTATTGATCAATTCAGTACTACCTCCATTGTGTAGCAATTCTAATTTCATGGAGCTCACACCTGGATTTGTAGTACTTTGAGGCTTAGGTAGGAGGACTGCCACCAGTTCAAGTGAGCATGGCTTACATAGTTCCAGGTCAGCCTGGGCTATGGTGTGAGGCCCTGTCTCAAAACAAAAAGAAGAAAGAATTAAGTCTTCTGGGCTTGATGGCACACATCTTTAATCCCAGCTTTTAGGATGCATTAGGTTGGGGGAGTGGCCTGTCTCTATGAGTGCAAGGCCAGCCTTGTCTACATAGCAACTTCCAGGCTAACCAGGGCCAAGGCTATATAGTAAGAAGCTGTCTCTCAGCTGGGCGTGGTGGCACACGCCTGTAGTAGGGAGGCAGAGGCAGGTGGATCTCTTGTGAGTTTGAGGCCAGCCTGGTCTACATAGTGAGTTCCAGGACAGCTAGGGCTACAGGGAGACCCTGTCTCAAAAAGACCAAAAAAATATTAAAACTAGCTTCTTGGTCTCCTAGTAAGAAGCTGTCTCTCAGCTGGGCGTGGTGGCACACGCCTGTAGTAGGGAGGCAGAGGCAGGTGGATCTCTTGTGAGTTTGAGGCCAGCCTGGTCTACATAGTGAGTTCCAGGACAGCTAGGGCTACAGGGAGACCCTGTCTCAAAAAGACCAAAAAAATATTAAAACTAGCTTCTTGGTCTCCTAGTCACATTTCAGTTGTTGGGTATTTACATGTGGGTGATGGTTGCAGTGTGTCAGCACACATAAAGAACATTGCCCTCACTGCAGAAAATACAAAACATGGGCAGGGAATCAACTTAGAAGTCTTAGATTTTAGGCCCATAGCTGATGGGTTTTTTCTTATAAAAATTCGAACCACCCTTTTTTAAGACCTTGGAAAAATCAAAGCCAGTATCTTGAGACATTTCTCCCTTAATAATTTTTAAAATAGATATTAGTGTATCAAGCAGAAAACTGATGTTTAGCTTACTCTAAAAAAATTAATAAGCATCCTTTACTTTTAAATCTCTATAGAGCTCATGAAAGTCACCAACAGTTTGCTTGTGCCCTGTGAGCTTTTCTCTGATGTCACATTTGACTGTCCTCCCCTCAGATGTACATTGAGTTCCATGTAGTTTTTCTCCTCGGCTTCTGCTCTGATTTGCTGAGATCATGAATCAAA